ATTTTCTAAAAATACATGAGTCTCGTACAAAACTGCAGCCACATCAGACCACTTGAATTCCAGAAATTTGGTACATTTCGCATTAACGCTATTTCATAGTTCAAGGCTGTCATAAAGCTACTATATTTCACAGACAAGTACAGCTGCCATTTTACCCAATTAAGTAGTTTGCGAATATTTTTTTAAGTATGTCAAATTTGGGCCTGCACACTTAGCCTATTCTCTTTTCAATAATGTCACATGATCTTTACTGTCCACTGTGAAGCAGGGTGAATACACCGACAGCAAGCTCACCTCTTCTCCATTGCCCATTCCCTTCGGCTTCCCTCCCCTCGCCCCTCCACTCCATCCCGTCCCTCCCCTTTAGCCCTTTCGTGACCCCCACGTGTCCTTTGCTACGGTCACTCGTTCCTTGGCCCATGCCCTCGAAATCACTCGACTTTTGTTAACGCTTTTTAAACTAGTTAGAGCGTCTTGTGCTAAGGCACGCTATAGCAAATATTTTTTTAATAAGAGAATAACCAGGGCGGCCCCTGGGCTCGAGCCATAAGTGGTAAACAAAGTATGCCACGCAAGACTTACATCATTATTTATCCTTGATTATTCAAGAGTCTGCACGTTCTCCCCGTTGATTTTTCTCCGGAGTCTTCCAGTTTTTCCCTCCACATTTAGAAACATGCATTTAGAGTATTTGGCTACTAAAAGTTTCCACGTGATAAGCCACTTCGTTGACCTGTCATTTGTGGCCAGGTCGCTTCTGAAAATGAGCTACCTAACTTCGTGAGCCTTACCTGGTAAAAGAAAATACATTGTTTAGTTTAGTGTCTCCACTTGCCTTGTAGTTTATTGTGGAGAAATACAAGAGCGAGTAAATTGTCATCTTTTTCGTTATTGAAATTAACCGAACTGCTGCCAATTCACAAAAGTAGTAATGTCACGTGCTTCGAACAAAATGTATGAGAGTAATATTTAGGTGGCTCATTGATCATCAGCAAAGATTGTTGAGTGCCAGGTGGCCACGTGAAGCAGTTGGAGTCCTCACGTGTACAGTATTTCTAAGTCCTGCACTTTTCACCAATATCCAATGTGCAGATTACTGTTTTGCTGAATTATAATTCGATTTACCCCAGGATCATACGGTGAAGATTCGACCCACTCTCATGCATCGTACAAAGGAGTGCTGTGTTGTTGATGTGATCGATGAGGCACCTTTGGAAGTACTTTGTGGTTTTCCTTCTCGTGTTGTGATTTAAAGTGACACAATACTCTGCTGCCAGCAACGGTGGGTTTCACAACGGATGACAGCGGTTCTCCGCTTCGACGATCCTAAGGCAATTGACAGCAACAACAACAACATCCAACATTTTTTGGGGGCTTTTAGCTGAAACTCTGAATACGCTCATGAACAGCGGCCGCTCGTGATTATGGGCCGGTGGGGCAAGGAGGGAGAGGAAAGACCTCGCAGAGAAATGGCTTGACTGGCGGCAAAAAGAGATTTGTGCCAGAAAGATGTGGCCACGACTTGAGCATATTGGCACGAGACCGAGGAAACTAGAAACAAATTACGAAATGTGCAGTGGACACCGACGGGACTGTCTGTCCATGGATCGTGATGATGATAGGGCCATGCCACAGCCGTGAGACACGAAAAAAAGAGGAAAACGAACCCTCGAAACGATTGTGAGCGTGGAGACGGTAACCAAACGGTGGAACGCATCGCCAAGTAGCTCTCGCCCCGACGCGACGCATCACAGGGAGAAACCTCGAGCGTAGCAACTCGGTCACCACCACCAGGGCTGTCGCGTGGCGCACGACACCGCGATATTCAAGTTTAGCCTGTCACGCGCAGCTAGCCGAAAGGGCCGTCCATCGGCCATCGGGGGGGTGGGGGGTGCAGGACCAGGGACAAATCCCCCCCAGAACGCCTTTACACTAAACCGGAAGTATTGCATCTGACACCAAAGTGCAGCCCCCCCCCCCCAACGTGCGGGGTCCGGGGCAGTCGTCCCGATTTGCCGTACCCTGGGATGGCTCTGCTAGAGGTACTTCTTCAGAAGAAGATAACCATGATGAACTAGAGGGTGGTCCAGGTGTCTTGTGACTCCCAATTATTTTTCTCCTTCGCATATTCATTTCCGCTTTAAATAAACCTTACTTTTAAAAAATATTACGTTTTAGAGCATTAAATGTGGATCACAAGACATCTGGACCACCTTGTTGATTTACCCACCTCCCTCCATCCTCCTTCCCCCGCTCCCCTCTCTCCCACCGCACACTTCTGTGCCCCCCCGTCAGCACGGTGTTTATACATTCACCCACCGGCCGCCACTGCTGATGAACATTCTTAACATCCCGTTTGTAGACACGGCACAATGAACTTATCTTGCGTCTGTCTGGCTTCACCATCCTGCAACTCGCTCGGACGTGCATGCCTCTTCACTCGCGGCAAGGATTCACTGCTGCCGTAGTATAAATTATAATTGTTGTTGTTATCCTTGTTACGATTACGTTCTGCTGTTTGGACGTCTGCATGGAACACCACTCGTGGCTTTTAATTTGCAAGCGGATCGAGCCTGGGAGCCTCCCCTGCACCTCGCGTCGTCACTCGGAGGGATACAATTTGAACTCAAATCCGTTGCAAGCTCGTAAATACTTGGACCTGCTAGTCAAAATTATTTTAAAACGTCTCCGTTACGTTTACCTTCATAGGTAAATCGTTTTTTTATACAACTCGGTGCGCTTCAGCGTCCTTTGAACAACCGTGCTAATGTGTTATGTTTTTTTGTGCTTTGTTTCACTATCATTTTAATTAGTTGTTTTTGTACAAACCAATGAAATAATGCGAATTGTCGTTATGTTCCTGTGTGTAGTTGGGCTTGTCAGTTGAGTGCATTAAATAGGAGGTAGTAAAGCAGAGGCCCCTTTTTATAATCCACGTGAATTGTTTGAACTTGGTTCCCTGTACACTCAGGGGGTCAAGGTCTTGCCTGTGGGCTTGAGGTTTGAGCTCGAGGTTATATAATAAAATATATAAATATATTTTTGGGGGAATTTATATCACAAGTCGTGGTGTAAAGCCATACACAGGGCGATCCAATTATATTAATCGGCCACCAAAATAATCCGAAGTGACAGAGAAAAAAAAAACATTTATTTGTGAGCCCTCTTTGTGTCTCCCACTTGTCCCAGGCCAATTGTTAAATCTTACAGCAGTCTCCTAAGATATGGAAGCACTGCGTTCTCAAACGTTCAAGCACCTGGTGAGGAGAGAGTCAGAGGGTTCATTAGAAATCGTATTTGTTTAGGACTCCAAAAAGGGGGTCATCGAAATTACACAAATTACAAAGGTGACTCTCACTGTTGGAGATGGTGAATATCCACGTCACGAAACAAACTTAAAAGCATGAACTTAAACAGCCGAAAGGTCAAGTCAGTGTCCTCCCACGCTTCCACTCCCACACTTGTGGGAAGTGGACAAAGCTCACCAATGCTGTCCTGAGCCAGTGGTGAACATTCCAGACGTAATGGAGGGATCCGTAGGACCTTGCGATGATCTCGACGCAGACCCTGCCCTCCGGCACAGCAATGACTCCTGTTTAATTCACCAATTCACTTCTTCCACCCCATTTGTACATGTGCATTGCAGAAGTACCTATGTATCATGTGTGTGTGTATATATATATCATCGTCTCTGTATACTAAACGTATATTTAACAATAAGGTATGCATACAGGTGGACATAATATTACAATAATAATATGTGAAAACACAGTGGTGGGAATACCAAATATATACTAATTATAACCTGCAAATAGCAGGGCAATGTTGCTATTGAGAAATTTGTAGTTAAATTTGAACCCTGATGCCGGCACAATGTGGCCTACTGTCCGGTGATTTTTTTGTAAGTCCATTGCGAAGCAGACGATGCATAGCAAGATTTATTAGTGTGGTTATTAAACAAGCAGTATTAATCAGGGCAGCCACCGGATTCGAACCGTGAACCTGTGCACCGAGCGGCGAATGCGCTACCACGAGGCCATGGCGCACCGCGTGTGTCTGTGTTCAATGGGTGGTTTACATTTTTTTGGGAATGGGATATATAAGTTGTATACTTGTTCACACACTCTCAGGAACCTGGCATTCAGCTTTGTTTTCAATAGCGACCCCCACCGGCTACGTATGCGCGTGGAAAGTTGCCGTTGTTAGGTTGGTGTCCATTTCAGGCCTCACGCTCGCAACATTTTATCCACCACTCAATACGACCGCACTTATAAATGTATACCTAAGCGTACTGTGCACTTAATTGGTTTCACAATATGAGTTACATTGCATTTTTATGAATATTTTTGTTTCTTTTTACGTTTCAAATGACTAATAATTTTTTTAAATGGCCGTTTTATTCCTTTCAAGGTATTTGGCATCCATATACAAATGTGTGCTGGATACAGTCACATTTGCAAGTGTGATTGAAAACTTTGACCATTACTTGTGTGCCGATTGTTCAAAGTTGACGTGCCATTGTAATGAGGGATTACTGCTTCTGTGTGGTGTTATCCCGGTGTGGTCTGGACTGTGTTGTTTGTTGTTTGTGTTGCCTTGCCCAATCTTGATATAATCGGACTTATTTAAAAATGTTGGCATTTATCATTTATTCATATTGAATTACTTAGCTTACCATTTTCTTTATTTTTGCACTCCTATCGTTTCTTTTGCTATTGTTTGCTTGTTGTAACTCGCTGGACATCTGTGGGTAACAAAAAATAGCTTTATAGCTCATCGGATTCCTCCTCTTGCGATCTAAAGATTCTAACTTTCCCCTGACGGCGTTCAATGGGTCTTCTAAAATCGGCGCTCCTAGCAAGGTTTGCGCCCAGTCGAGTTTCTCGTTTGAGCCTCTCTGGTCACGCGGCCCCCCGTCAAGTCCCCCCCCCCCACCCACCCGCCCCCCACAAATTCCCTGCTTCTGCGAGACGGATATCGGCAGTTGGGTTTTGTTCCAGGAGCATCAGTTGGACGAGAGGGACGCCCGGAGGTTCCGGATGAAAATCGCCGAGCTGGGCTCCGTCGTGCGCAAGCTGGAGGATCGGAACACGCTGCTCTCGGACGAACGCAACGAATTGGTGAGGAGGCGCTTCCACGCACGCGGCACCACACTCACAAAGAGGGCCGTCCATAAAACACATTCCTGCGGAGGGAGCTGGTAGGAACGTTTGGTTGCTCGGTCAATGGCCAGGGTCAACGGCGGCGTGGTGTGAGGGCGGGCACAAGCCGGCGTGAGTAGGTTAAACGTTGAGTTTTATAAGGGCACCACGGGGTGACCAGCCCCTCCCCACCCAGCCCCACCCCTCCCACCCCCACCCAGCCCCACCCTCCTCTCCCCACCCAGCCCCTCCCCACCCTCCCCTCTCCACCCAGCCTCACCCGTCCCATTTTTGGATGCACGACGGACGGACGGACACAATAATCCCCTGTAGGCTGGTGTAACCAGGAGTTTACTACTAGTATGACGTCACGCACCTAGGGGGAGGGGGGGGGGTCAGACATTTGTGACGATGTGTGACGAGGAGGGTGGGGGGGTTGAGAAATGTGACGTCACATCACAATGAATGCGCAACTTTAAATAAATATAGACAACACGTTCTACTTAATTAAATAGACTTTTTAATAAATGTTTCTCCTACAACATCAGAGTGCAGCGCCACATTAAATACGCACTACAATGACAATAGTTTAAAGCTATTTGAAGCATGTTTTATTTGGGGGGGGGGGGGGCAGAGCTTTGTGACGTCATATTTGAGGGGGGGGGTCTGACTTTTGGTGACGCCGTGTGACGAGGGGGGGGGGGTCTGACTTTTGGTGACGCCGTGTGACGAGGGGGGGTCAAAAATCGTCAAAAATCGCGTGACGTCATTTATGGACGGCCCCTAAACGCATGAAACGTTGACGTAACATCTGTACCATAGCAATATCGGGTACAACAATATAACTACGAATATCAATTTTCTTTTACCAGGCAAGGCCCACTGACCTATATAGGTATTTTTTCAGAAGCGACCTGGCCACACACGTTCGCTCGACGAAGTGGCTTATCGCGTGGAAATGTATAGCAGCCAAATACTCTAAAAAGCGCGTTGATTCTAAATGTGGAGGGGACAAACCCGGAGGGCCCGGACAGAGATCCACACGACCACAGATCGGGTTGTTATTATTGACAGGCACGCCTACTCTCGTGGTAGTGCCTTACGCCGATGATCCCCTGCACCAAGCGAGCCTATAGCAACGTTACGGAACATACCGTGTGAGAAATTGAGCCTTGCTGATGATTGATGACAGTGCTGCTGCGTTGGTAATTATTGAAACCCATGTGATGAAGTTCCCTTACGTCATTGGCTTCACGTCACTGTGAATGAAGCCGTCTTTTAAATCGTCGGTCACACGATGCTCTGTTCCGTGCATCTTGGTGATTGCCATCTCTGTTTTTATGGTTCTTCCTACGCACCTCCGATTCACGTGGTTGTCTCTGGTGCGAAAGAAGTTCAACATACATACATCTGTGTTGGGAGTTGTGAGACAATGGTGGAAATTCCATATTTCTATGGCAGGTGCTCATTTGACTGACCTTAGAAGGATTCGTAACGTAAATCTCAAATAAATGTGAGCTCACGGTTTCAACTTACGACTTGGGAGACTGTTGATGTACTGAGCTGTACCTAAGTTTAAAAAAATATTAGGTGGGCTGATCATGATGAATATTTTAATGTTTAGACAGTTCGCCTGGTTTTGAGACGTAGTTGTATTTCGACGCTATGTAAATCCTAATGCATATGTACTATTTCCACCCTAATTGAGTGTTAGCGTTCACTGTTCAACATTTTTTTTTGCAGAAAAGTTTAGCATTTTTTGGGAAGAATACGCTCTGTTGTCACTTGTCAGCTCTGAGCAATGCAGAGCGGTGGTGAGAGGCTCGAAATGCAAGGGGATACATTAACGAGGTCGTTTGCATTCAGAATCAGAAGTCTATTTCCCTGGAGAAGCCCTTTTAGCTACACAGCCCTTTTACAAGCGCGACTTGAGCCCTGCAAGACAACAGCGGCAGCAAAGTGCTTACATGCCATAAATTATAAATGCTTAAACAAAAAAAAAGTTAATTATTGACAATGTCTTAAACGTAAACATGTTAACAGTTATCTACGTTGACGCTTGATGCTTTGTCATCTCAATCGGGAGTCTGTTCAACTTTTTAATATCGTAAAGCTCGTGAAAATTGGGTTCAAGGTATCACATCTTCACGCGTAAATACATTGACTTGCTCTGCATTGCACATCGGGAGATGAATATGATCTTTCGTGAAGACGCGGTGCGTAAATTAGCACCGCTGCATATGAAGCAGGGTTAGATGGGATTACACCGGGCTCTCCTGATTGGTTGTCACTAATCGCCAAGTCAATATATTTTAATTATTTTTTTTATTCCGTGGCATGATCTGACGATGCATCCCCTCGGCAGGCAGAGCTTTCACTAATGACTTCGGATTAGATGTATTCAGTTTGGCTGATGTCCTTGAGCCCTGGTGACATTTCCTGTAGTAGACTGACTTGATGGCTGAAACAATTAATAAATCAGCTCAATCAGGGAGCAGCAGGTTATTGTTTGTGATTCGTGAATCGCTGCTCGCTGAATTAAATTAGGACCATGGAAAGCAAAAACAACATTAGCTGTCGCAAGAAATCGTGTCAATTTCAGTGAATTTAGGGATTGAGATAATTAAGGATTAAAATATGTGCTATGTCACAAAAACCCACTGTATAACATTCATAATGAAGGTTTTTGGGTTAGATTGTGTAAATATGAATGTGTCGTTAACCCATTACCGCCTGACACAGCCAATTGGTGAGGTTTGTCACGTGAAAAAAATGTGCCAATTCACTACTACTGTAGCACATGGGCGTGATGGAGAGTAAACCCACAACATTTACAATTTGAGTACGACGTTTCGCTGGTGATTCCAACCAGAATTCTAGCAAATCGCCTGATGAACCTGTTTGTAATCACCAGCGAAACGTTGTACTCAAATTGTAAATGTTGTGGGTTTACTCTCCATCGCATCCTTGTGCTGAAGTAGTCACTAATTGGTACGTTTTGTTCACGTGACAATCTTACTAACTGGCTGTGTCGGGTGGTGGAGGGTTAATGACACATATTTGCGCGATTTAACTCACAAAACATTATTATGAACACTATTGGCCGCGAAAGCCTACGTGTTAAATTGACTAACCATGCACAACAGTTGTAATGAACGTTTTAATGGAAACCCAATTTACTCTTTGACATTAGCGTTACTTTGGATACAATTCACGGGCTCGAGTCAATGTGATGCACCAATATATTGAATGAAAAATAGCCAATGAATCGACCCACAACAAGTGACAGCACAAAACTTGGCTTCGGTCTGGTCGCTATTATTTTAATATCTGTCGATTGAAATTGCCATCACTTAATATCCATGCTTGCACTCGTTTTCCCAGATGTGTTGTGCGATAATGAGGGACATTGTATCTCCAAACGTACAGCTCAGAATACTGATGCGTGCCATTGATTTGCGATAAAATCCCACCTGGATAAAACAATCTCATACTGCCCGCGCCCAAGAACATTTACACTGAATTCCTGATCTAATTAAATGCTGGTATAGACATCTTCATTTTTCGAGGAAAATATGATTACATTAGTATAGACACTCTTTGCCGCCTAGAGAAACATGTTTATTCAAGATATGCCTGCCTCTAAATGTTTCATTTTCTAGAACATATTTTGTACTATAATAATGTCTAAATTTATATCGGGTTATCGCCCGTGATGAACCAATGGACTTCTGTAATTAGGGAATAATGTACGATGGGGGCTTTTGAAAAACTGCCTTTGATAATGAAAAGCAACATAGTCATGTGTCTGAGAGGAAATTACGAACTTTACCCTCTGTGGCGTCTACATCATGAACACGGAAACAGACAAAGAAAAATAGAACAAAAGCTGCAAAGGGTGCAAAGAAGCATGGATAGATGCCGGCTTAGGAGAGAAAGAGGAACACATGGTTCGATATTGGAATAGTGTCTCAGAGAGTATGATAATTATGGATACAATTTAACGTTTCCAATAACGTTATTTCAATCCTCATTCTTAATTATATATCTGTTAGACTTTTTTTTAAAGTGTGTGTTTAAATATATGCAGTTTGTTTGTTGTTAAAGTGCCAAGTCAAGACATATCAATAGTCTGTGGTCTCCGGTTGCCTGGGTGAAACATGGGGCCATGTCCTTGCCAAATCTCGACCCAGCCTGGCTCAACGACCCAATCAACAATCAGGAAACAAACACAAGTCATGAACATTATATTGGCCATTAAAGTAAGTGGGCTTGGGCAAGAGATATTGCCAGAAGGGTTGAACTATAGGAGAGAACATGGCAAAGAGGACAACCACCTTGGATGTGGAGCCATGAGATCAGTACATGTGCTGGCATTCGCCAAGGTCTTATAAGTCACGAGCAAACTCACAGGAACCCGACTAAACACATTCCTGCGGAGGGAGCTGGTAGGAACGTTGGGCTGCTCGGTCAATGGCCAGGGTCAACGATGGCGTGGTGTATTCCGCAAATATGGCCGACTGTGAGGACGGGCACAAGCCGGCGTGAGTAGGTTAAACGTTGAGTTTTATAAGGGCACCACGGGGTGACCAGCCCCTCCCCACCCTCCCCACCAGCCCCTCCCCACCCTCCTCTCTCCACCCAGCCCCACCCCTCCCATTTTTGGATGCACGACGGACGGACGGACACAATAATCCCCTGTGGGCTGGTGGAACCAGGTGGTTCCTACCAGTAATAACCATTCATAAAATGCCGAAGGATCACCGACTCCAAACGCAAGGGAGGTCATTATCCTAGGAGATGGACAACGTGATGATGATGACATGTGCAGGAGTGAGATGTATTATGGAATTGCAGGATCGTGAGGGATGGTGCTGGCATGCAGAGGCCTTCACTCACCTGTTGCCAGTGGCAATCGAAGAGGGTGACAATTGTGATGATGATGGTGATAGCCCATTACATTAACAACTCATGTACTGCTCATTGATGACGTAAGATTAGGTTTGGTGGAGCATTTCTCCACTTTAGTGCACTAAAGGAAGAGTTGATGCATAACACAAAGATGGAGCGTCATTGACACAGCTTAGCTGTGGGGAACGAGGTGTCTTCAGGAGGCAGTGCAGCCGTTGATTTTTGACTTTACACTGTAGAGTTTTTAGGAATAAACTACTCAATTGTGTGCCTTTTTGCCACCCAAGTTTCTAGACTTTAAATAAATGAAATCTGTTCATTAGAACCTTCCTGAACAAGTCTTGAGATTTTATCTTTTTTTTCCTGAATAAACATACAGATTTTTTTTTAACAAATAAACCATTATTTAGAACACTACGTATGGCTGAGTGGCACGGTGGTGGATTCTTTGACTTACAATCATCAGGCTGGAAGTTCAAATACCGCTTTGCGGTTTGTGTTGCATTTTTCTGTTTCCTCTGTGTGGCCCTCTGAGCTGAGATAACTTTAGCATGGTCGTGAGTTTACTCTGCTGATTTGTGTGGCTGGGTGGCACCTTAGAATGGGATTCAACTCTGACCGTAATTTTTTTTTATGGTTAGTAACCCAGTAAACGTGGAAAATTTGGGCCAACATTTCCCGTTTACTGGGAAATACGGTATAACTTTCTAAGAAGTCAACAATGGTTGCTATAAAGGTATACTGGCCCTACCATAGGAATGTGGAATTCGCCAGACTGATTTTGGCCCTCCAATGGAGGTGAGCAATGGCCTACTCAGACATGGGGTGACTCGGCTATCGAGGGTGGACGATGAGATTTACTGCGCTGGTTCAGCTTAAATACTGTTTAGACAAGTAATACATTCAGAAATGCTTGCTTCGTAGCTGTAGAATATGTACACTGGCCGTATCCTGTGAATGTCTATAATACTGCAATGCTGATTGCCATCATGGAACGCGTGCACTGGCTAGGACTGCCGCCCGCCCGCAAAGCTAATAATGCCCTGGTGACATTGAATTCCGCAGGAAATGAGCGCGAGACGCTACAAATCAAACTGCGATGTCTCCTCCTGCGATAGGATCGCGCTGTATGAGGCTTAATGTTCAATCGATGACAATGACGGCGTTTGCATACTGATACGAGAACATTGCCGCGCTCGTTGATGTAAACCACAGAGCACGCGCGCACGTGTGTGTGTGTGTACAAGCGTCTGTGTAAGCGCGCGTGTGTGGGTAAACGCGTGTGTGTGTGCAATGGGGAGCGGTAGTGTAGTGGTTAGCGTGCTGCACTATGAACCCTCGCTAACAGCACTTGCCCCTACAGTCTGTCAAGGCTATACGGGGGATCTTTATCTTTGTGTGTGCAAGTCCGTGTGTGTGCAAGCATGTCTGTGGAAGCGCGTGTGTGTGCAATGTGCATGTGTGCGCGTGCACTTGTTCTAAGGAGCGGTGGTGGTAGTGGTTAGCGTGCTGCGCTTACGAACCCGGCGACTCGAGTTCAATTCCCGATCACGGCCAACATCAGTGACGATTATCTTAACTGGTCACGGGCCTCCCCTACGTCGACTCAGCCTCAAATGAGTATCAGGTGCGATGTGTAAATGTCGCCGCTAGGGAGACAAAGGCGGCCGGTCGTGGTGCTGTCCACTCACCCTGTGCCGCTCTTCATAGGTGATCACGAACAGCGCCTGCCCCAAACAGTCTGTTAAGGCTATACGGGGGAATTTTTGTCTTTTAGTTATTGTTTTAAGAAACCGATTTCTTGAAAGGGTCACATAACCAGCAATGAGTGAAATATATAAACGTAAATATTGCGCACACCCTGAGCACGATATTTCTTGCGCGTCTTAGTTTCCGTAGTTAATGCAGTCCTTGTACACTGGACCTGAAACTCTGATGGCAGCTGTCGAAACAATGGGAGCAAGTTTCTTAAACTCCCCCTGCCTCTCTCCACCCAGCGGTGTGTGTGGTACACCATGGTTAGTCAATCTGCAGCCCATCTGTGTGTGTGTGCTAGGGTAAAGTGTAGGTACACAACCCTTACACAATACAAGAAACATGTTGTTATTTGGCACCTGCTTGAGAGATGTTAACTACCTCGCCTGGTACACAGGAGGTCGTGGGTTCGATCCCAACCCCGAGGCTTGTATATTAGGAGTTTGCCGTGTCTCCACTTCTCGTGGTCGCATGGATATGTCTGCGCGTCCTCCAAATTTTCCATCCATATTTAGAATCAACACGCGTTTAGAGTACACTCAGTACAGTATTTGGCTGCTATAAATGTCCACGTGATAAGCCTCTTCGTCGAGCTTTCATTTGCGGGTGTTACCTGGCAAAATAAAAGTAGCAGCAGACTCAGCCTGTGAGGATGTCATCAACAGCAGCACCGGGGTGCTGACACCCCACTCCGCTCCTCATTTGCTATGGCAACCTTAGTAGGTGATCAATCATAGCAAAGGCCTAGATAGTTAACAAAGGATCTTTGTATTTCTGTGCGTTGGTACATGTTATTGCCAAATGAATGCAGCGGTGGTGTCGTTGTTATCGCACTGGGTTGCCACCCCAATTGACCGTGTTCGACTCCCGCTCATGGCCCACACCAGTGACGAATGTCTGAACCTGTCCTGGGCCTCCCCTAGGTCAACTCGGCGTCAAATGAGTACCTGGTGTGGAGTGTAAACATCGCTACTAGGGGAGACAAAGGCGGCCGGGCGTGTTTCTGCCCACACCACCGCCCTAATGCGCCGTCGTGTGCTCATGTGCAGGATTATCTTTTCCAGACTGCAATACTATTGTCCTAAATTCACACTCAGTTTCCTGGGAAAAAATTAATTGACAATTAATTGCCCACAGTGCACAGCAGTAAGGGGTGCACTTCAGGTCATCTCAGCCTTAAATAATGAGAGCCCAGTGCTGAGCTGTAAGGGCACCATGGAGCCCAGGCAGACTTTCAAGTGCCTGTCTTTAATGTACATAATCTTAAAATGTATTCCAAGGGCCCCTCAGGGTCTGTCCGTGTGCGAGCGCGTATACAATGGTGGGGGAGCGGTGGCGCAGTGGTTAGCGTGCTGCGCTACGAACCCGGTAACCTGAGTACGATTTTCTGTCATAGTCAACACCAGTGACGTTTATCTGAACAAGTCCTGGGCCTCACCTAGGTCGGCTAAACCTCAAATGAGGACAGTACCTGGTGCGCCACTAGGCAGACAAAGGCAGTCAGGCGCGGTGGTGGCCACCCACCGCCTTGTGTACCTTGCCAGCCTTTATAGGTGCTAGCTGAACAGCCCTTGCCCCAACAGTCTGTGGAAGGCTATATGAGGGATATTTGTCTTCATACTGAAACATTCTAGGAGTGTGACGCTGCACGGTGATAGAACAGGATCGGGGAAATGTCACGTGGCCTTCATGGCCCACGGGCTGATTTATTCGATTGTCAAAATTACGAGGTAACAAAAGTGGAGATTAACCCTTTCTCGTTCCGAGACGTCTGCAATTTGCGCTGTGGGTGTCCCGTACACCGCTGAATCTTGGAACGCGCAAGCGGCTCGGCGTTAATTGTATTTAAAGAGGCATAGCGCCGCTGTTTTTAAAGACATTGCACTCCCCTGCAGAGAACCGTGGCAACACGACCCCACTCTCTGATAGCTTACGCCAGTCTGTGCCACGCGCCCTCCCGCATGGCCTGGTGACGCACGCGTATGTCATCCGAATGAAAGTGAGAGAAACACGGACGCAGCTGACGATGGGCTGCAGCAGCGACGTATTTTGATACACGTGGCCTCGTCACATCCACGCCGTCCTCCACAATTCTTCTGACACCTTCGTTTGAATAGGGGGAAGATGCCCATTTTTGAAAGGACGTTGAATCGATGTGAGATGCGACTCGGTCGCGTGCGATTCCACGCATCCCCACTTTGAACCGCGCACGCTCTGATTGCATCCTTGAACCGTGGAGCCGATAACTGGCTGTGTATGAGGGACTGGTAGTATTGAGATGATATCACCCCCCGCCGCCCTGCCCATTGGAAGAGTGCCTCGTGAGAGGGTTGATTGCCACGGCGAAGAGAACAGCACGGGCTACAACAACGCGCGGCGTGTGAAGGGGTTGCGAGCTTGTGAGAGGGTCGAGAGGGGTCGAACCTCGCTTGCACCCGAAAGAGGCCGAGAAAGGGCCATATGAAGTGTCGGCGCTCCTCTTCTGTCTCAACGGACTGTTCGTGCACACATTGTGGTTTAAATCGTAGCGTCAAGCTCTGTGGAAGTTCTTGCTGATCGCGCCCAGGAACATAAACCATCAGCGCGAACTCCGGTCATCCTCGAAGCAGCGGCTTTTGGCTTGCCATCGAACAAAGACGGTCACTGCAATGCGCGCTCTCGGATACGCTTCTGGCAGCCGTGTGGGACGCTCTTCCTTCCGATATTAGGAATCCACTGGAGCTATGCCCTTTTAAATCTAGATTTAAAACGCATTTCTTTAGAACTGCTTTTAGTGTTTAGTTTATTGTCCTTCCCCCGCACCTCCGATTAGCACGGTTGGCTACGTACGGTGTGAAAGAAGTTCAACGTACGTACTTACAATGTCCCCCGTAAGCGCGTAACGATGTGTGGAATTGTTCTATCGATCGGAGCGTTCGCGACTTTTATCGCCAGTGTGTGTACAGCTTACTGCCGTGCGTCAGGCCGCACGCGTGCTTGTGTAATGTCGCCCTCCTCATAGGAACTCCCGTGTCAGTTTGAAGCATGAGCATTGTTCCAACATCTGGTTGGAGGTCATGGGTAGGCAATCCTCCGAAGGGGTCAGACCTTTCAAACAGCAATGGGAAAATTGCACTCTTGGCTCAACACTGTACCGCCAATAGTAATGATCTTTTGTAAGGGATTTAACATTCTCGAAGCTTATGTCCTCCAAAATGTAAAGAATCATCCATAATACAGTTTTTTTTGGGGTTAGATCGCGTAAATATAAATGTTGTGTCGTTAAACCCTTAGCACCCTCCTCTATGGGTCTGAGTCCTGGACAACATTACGCCCATCAAGAACATCAACTAAACACATTCCACCTCCGATAGTCTCAGGCATATCCTCGGTATCAGATGACAAGGTCGCATTCCCAACACCTCAGTCCTCAACTTGGCCAACATTCCCAGCATGTACACTCTACTCAGTCATCGGCACCTGAGATGGCTTGGACACGTGCGCCGCATGCAGGATGGCAGAATACCCAAGAATGTTTTGTACGGCGAGCTGGCATCAGGCACACGGGTCATTGGTCGCCCAGTCATGCGCTTCAAATATGTCTGTAAACGGGACATGAAGAGCTGCGACATCAACCCAAGTGACTAGGACTCAGCTGGCAGCAGGCTGTGAAAACAATCCTCAGGAGAGGCGAGGAGAAAAGACACATTGCTTGGCAGACCAAGAGGGAAGCGACGTAAAGAAAAAGCAACAAACACCTCTGGAGCTGCCACCGCATTCACTTGCAATTGTTGTGGCAAGGATTGTCACTCACGGATTGGCCTACTAAGTCATTCTAGGCGCTGCAAAACTTACAGCTGATCCTCGTAAGGCGCAAAAGAATTGTCTCTCGAGACACAAAGGCCTATGCATGCAAACCCGCCACCACCCGATACAGCCCATTAGTAAATAATGCCACGTGAACAAAACGTGCCAATTCGTTACATGTACAGCACACCGGTGTGCTGGAGCGCAAATCCAGAATCCGTGCTTGTTTTGCGCCGAGCCTATCCGCAGACAGCAATGTGAAATCGTCTTTTTTGTTTTCCGTTGACGGTTAAACATCGGCAACACTGCCGCGTGCTGGCTACAAGTCGGGCCACTTTAATCGGCGTTGCCGCATGCAATGTGCGAGTCGGTGCCATGGCGATGATCTCGTGACCAGATTGTTGCTTGCTTGATTTTTTTCGTCATTCTTCTGCGGGTGTGAACACAAGGGCCGCGTTCATCCGAAAGTGATGCAAGCCCGGTTTTACCCCTGCAGTCAACCCCCCCAGATAGACCATCATCAGGGACACGGATAGCTGATGCCCTCTGTTGGTGCAACCTATTTTTGCTCGTGTTTTGTCTCCTTAGCTCTTCTGAGCTCACGTTTCCTCCATCATATACGATCTGTGCTCTCCTTAATTTCGTTGTATATTCCTCCAGATGGTCCAGCACTTGCTACTTCTTGGCATTTTTCTGAATATCATTCCCTCTAGAGCAGTGGTTCTTAACCTGGGGTGCGAGATGCCCTTTCTGGGGGTGCGAGACATGGCAGATTTTTTTAGAAGGTAAATAATTGAAAACACATATTAAGCACGGGCACAAAGTACAACTTATTTCGTTTCATAAAACCCATGTATCTATTAACATATCTTTATTAACGCTTTAGAACCAAAGGAGTGCAAGGCTGCAGTAAAAAGGTTAAGAACCACTGCTCTAGAGCTTCCTTCAGCAAACCTTCACAGGCTTATAACACATTCCTGCGGAGTCAGCTGGTAGGAACGTTGGGTTGCTCGGTCAATGGCCAGGGTCAACGACGGCGTGGTGTATTCCGCAAATATGGCCGATTGTGAGGGCGGGCACAAGCCGGCGTGAGTAGGTTAAACGTTGAGTTGTATAAGGGCACCACGGGGTGACCAGCCCCTCCCCACCCAGCCCCACCCCTCCCACCCCCACCCAGCCCCACCCAGCCCCACCCAGCCCCACCCTCCCCTCTCCACCCAGCCCCACCCCTCCCATTTTTTGATGCACGACGGACGGACGCAATAATCCCTTGTGGGCTGATGTAACCAGGAGGTTTCTACCAGTAAAAATGTTCAAACCAGAATGAGTTGTTTTTGTCCACTTTGAATTGCTCCAATCAGACTCCTGGTCGTCATGCCCTATCCCTCGTCCTTTCCCGTAGCGCCTTCCTTCTTTATTTCGCTCCACATGATTTCTCTCCACTTTGACGCCACAAACCACGTCTCGGAACGTTACAGGTTTTTTTTTTACGTCCTTTTTATTCCTCGAGTGTCCACGTCTCTACTGAATACAACGTCGCTGCTCTATGCTCAGGTCTTCCCATGTCCCAATTTATTTCCCTTCTCAACCGTCTTATCAGCAGCGCCTTGTTTTTAATGAACGTCACCCCCTCATGGTGACATTCGTTAAATGTTCATTCTTTGTTTAGTTAGTCGTGCCTCCGCTCCGCACCTCTGATTAGCACGATTGTGTACATACGGTGCGAAAGAAGTTCAATATACATACACGGTAATTTTAGTTCTAATGTTTTTCGACCATCTTGGCATCTTTTGTCAAAATATTTCCCAAATATGTTTTCCCCGCTGTGATATTGAATCTGCTCCACTAGTTAATTACTTTTGATATCCATTATTTTTATTGTCATTACAAAAATCTTTGATATATTTTAAAGATATCTCCAAGTATTTCGACTCTTCACAATTCACCAATATGTTGCTAATCGTATTTAATACTAACTGAAAGAATTATATATAATAATTTTTTAAAAAAGTAATTAGAGAATTGTATTTACATATGTGAAGTCAATTTGCCATAATTCTCATTGCAGATCATTTTTAAAACTGAATACTGGATTTGATTTGTGGTGGTACACCATGACTTACGCATTTAAATTATGTGTTTGGGTGGTTTGTTTACCTTTCCTGTACTTTACATGACTCTCATGTTTTCGTACCGTTTGTTGTTGTAACGTTCTTACCCGCCCCTACTGGACATCTGTGAACAAAGAGCTTTGTAGGTCATCGGATTCCTCCAGTACAAATACTGATTCTGACGTGACCACTTCCCAAGGATAGCAAAGTGAGCCAATGGCGATTGTTATGCAGCTGCCATAAGAACGCACAGAGGTAGCCGAGGGGCCCAACAGCTACTGCCTGTGTCGGTGCACTGAGCCAACACTGTGGAGATCCTGAGTTTGGAGGATTTTCAAGTTTAGCAAGTTAATGGTCTGCAAACAGTCACGAATGTAGGTACAAAAGAACAACATGTCTTGTGTTTGGATTCTAACTTAATGAGGCCTACACCACCTCTGAGAGCTACATTTTATACATTTTATAAGATTACTGTTATGTGGCAAACCATTCTTACAGAGAATGAAGGAACACCAGCCAGTGCCGGGTAAGAGAGGTCTATTCTTTTTTAAGTGACTCAGAAGTAGTTCACTGTACTCTATTTCAACGGTCATTCCCTAACATGACGTCCTGTCGCCCGACGGAGTTATATAATGGCGTCATCATTTTACCATATGACAAACACAATTAAAACACAGTATAAAAGGTAATAATAGGCGAAATATGAGAACTACGAAATAGCGTTGTGTTCTTGCGTGCGTGTGCTTGTTTTTGCCGCGAGCAGCTGAAACGCTTTCGGGAGGCAGGAGAGCCAGTGCCGGCCCCTCATGGAAAAGAACAAACGCCTCTCGCGCAAGAACGACGAGCTCAACTGCAGGCCTGCAGCGCCTGGAGGACAAGCTGAAGCTTCTCACGAGGGAGAACTCCGAGATGGTAACCGCAACCGAACAGAGGCCCTCACAGCTGAAAAGCCGACCGAAGGAAAAAATTTGGCACGCCGAGTCGGCAGCGGTGCTCAGAGCACAAATAGCAAACGAGCGAAGCGAACAAACGAATCTCTCTACTTATATGTCTGTCTGCATGTCTTTGGTTCTGTGTTTTATCTCTCTCTCAAATTTAGCTTCTCAGGAAGAACGTAATGAACCAGGTAGGGTGTTGACTGTTATGTTATCCGACTCTCTGTTGTATTACATTACATTTCTAAGTATACTAGATTTGTGTTTCTATTTCATTTATACCTGATGATGATTGCTTGTGTTGCAATCGAAACGTCGTATGCAAGTATTTAATTTATTATTTTCTCTTTAAACGTGACTTTACCGAAAGAACCAAAGAGTAATTCCTGCAGTCACGAAAGCTCCAAATTAAGTATGAACGAATAAAAACTCAACACGCAACGTTAATAACGCTGCCCAAAATGGGAGAGAAATATCTCACAGACGATGCTTAAGGCAGTAGCCCTTCTTACCAACAGAGGCTATAAACTATTTTTTTTATTTCAACCAGGTAAGGCCCACTGAGCTATGGAGTGCTTTTTCAGAAGCGACCTGGCCACGAATGATAGCTCAACGAAGTGGCTTATCACGTGGAAAAACCAGAGTACCTGTAGGAAATCAACGCGATACATCAGGCGTAAGAGTTGGGATCGAAACCATGACCCCCTGCATACCAGGTGAGGTAGTAAACATCTCACCACCATGGTGCCTGAGATTAGCAAGCCCTCCGCACTCTCCAATGAGCAAGTGTCATCGCCCAAAATATCGTCTTCTGAGAGTTGGAAGCCTTGACATGAATACTTACAGAGAATACCTCTCCTGGTATGATGCTGGTGGTATTCCCTACAAGAATACCAGCCTATGGTGAGACAATCAGTTGTCACGGAAACCAATCGCTGAATTTGAAGAATAAAGATAAGTAACGGTAATCAGATACAGTAGAACCTCGGAGATCGAACGCACCAGAACTCGAACAAATCGGTGTTCGAACGATATTTCCGAACATTTTTTGCCCCGGAAACTGAACGAAATTCGGAGGTTGAACTGGCAATCGAGACTTGAAAGAACCTGTATGGCCAGCGTGCATGACGCTTGCCCAGACAAAGGTTTTACCACCTCCTCCTCCTCACCACCTTCCACTCAAACCATCATATATCCTTACTACAGGTAAAGTGAAGTTCAATCTTCATTTATTTCATTTATTCCATATTTATTAATTTATTCCATTTATTTATTGTGTGCCTTGTTTTTTTGTCTGCTTTTATGCACGTAATTACTGTAAACTTCATGGAAAAATGCTTTATAATGAGATATTTCTTGTGTCTAGAACCAATTAATGTAATTTACATTAATTCTTATGGGGAAAATTAATTCGGTGCTCGGACAAATCGTTGTTCGAACGGCCTTCTGGAACGATAAAGTTCTATCTCCGGGGTACCACTGTAGCTGATGTGACATTGCACAGTTAGAGCAGGTTCACTTCACGCATCGGCATGTACATTCATGTTGAACTTCGAACTTAATTTGACCAAATTTCATATCACCATAGAACCTCTGGCCTGGCATCCTTGTTGCAATCAGAGCGCATTTATCAATATTTCATTATGTCTGTAGCCAGAGAAAGCTTTCAACACGGACGCATGTGCTGGGTGCAGTGGTACACGCCCGCATTACCTTGACTTACATTGCAGGGTTGATGGCTCACAAGGAATGGGGATGCACTCTCCAACTATTATTCAGTCAAGTCTCTCTGGCTTCTCTATCTAAAAAACTCGCTTATTTGATCATCTTTCCTCTTGAGGGCCGCAGTGTCATTAACAGATGTGGTGAGTTGTTGTCACCGGAACAGGGATTTAACACGTGTGTTTTTTGCGACCAAATGTTGTTCATAATAAAGGTTTCTGGGTTAGATCACATGAATATAAATGTGTCGTATTCTTAATTAATAAACCTTTTTAATTGCACGTCTGTTCTCGACATCATATATTGATTAACTATGATTAGCCCATCTGGAAATATGTACTGCATATTTTGGAAATATGTACTGCATATTTTCAGATTAACATAATCCATGATAATGTATTTGATTATAATAAACCCCACCCTCTGATATTTGCACCTGATAGGCTCACAGTGATGATGTTATCTTGCTCTATTTAAGACCGGAAGCAGGAAGACGTCTTGACAATTTTGTCAAATCTCCTGATGAAGCTGGTCGTAATGTCACGGCAACTCCATTGCAAATGTTGTGGGCATACTCGCCGTCGCAAGGGTGTGTGCTGAAGTAGCCGCTACTCGGCGCGTTTTGTTCATTTGACATCCCCCGTACTAATCGGCCGTGTCAGGTGGTGGTGGTGGTGGGTGAACGACACAGTTTATGTTGAACGCGATCTGAACCTCCGTCGCCTGCGCAGAAGCAGAGGTGTACAGCCAAGGAGGCCTTGAGGAGGCCGAGCTCTCTCAACGACCTGGAGCAGTCGCAGGAGCAGCGCGAGATCGAGTTCCTGCGCATGCAGGTCATCGAGCAGCAGAACATGATCGACGACCTCAACCAGGTGGGCGCCGTCGGCCGAGTTGCGTCGTACGCGCGCGGTCTCGCGCAGCAGCGGCGGCGGCAGCAGACGCACGTCGCGTTTTTGTGTACTAATCCGGGTCCTCCGGTTTAGAAACGTGCATTGAGATTATTTAGATTGTTTTGCTGCGATAAATGTCCAAATATTCTTGGTTCTTTCAAATTTTCTTGCTGTGGATTTCACACCTGATGACGATTGCTTGTGTTGCAGTCGAAACGTCGTGAGAATTTTTTTTGTTTTATATTTGTATTACTTTATTATTTCCCTTCTACGTGACTTTACCGAAAGAACCAAGAATATGAATCCCTGCAGTCACGAAAGCTTTAAATCGAAATGTCCAAATGATGGGCCACTTTGCTGAGCTGTCGTTTGTGGCCAGGTTGTTTCTGAAAAATAAGTGAATACCTCAGTGGGCTTTGCCTGGTAGTATGGGGATGGTTTAGTTTTTATTTATATGTGTTTGGGTGATTTGTTTTATCTTTCTTACACTGTGCAGCTACTATCATGTTTTTGTATTGTTTGTTGTTGTAATGCTTTACCCGCCCCTACTGGACATCTGTGAAAAAGAGCTTTATAGCTAATTGGATTCCTCAAGTATAAATAAACATTCTGATTCTAATTTCGATTTAAAGCTTTCGTGACTGCAGGGATACATCTTCTTGGTTCTTTCGGTAAAGTCACGTAGAATGGAAATAATAAAATAATAAAAATAAAACGTAATAAAATAATTCTCACGACGTTTCGGCCACAACGCAAGCAGCCGTCCTCAGGTGGAGAACAGGTCTGTCGAGAAGACGGAGTCTCAATGATTATTATTTTATTATTTCCATTCTACGTGACTTTACCGAAAGAACCAAGAAGATGAATTCTGATTCTGAGTTCATCGTTTGCCAGGCCAGGTTAAGTATGGGTATTTCCACCTCTTCCAAAACGTCTGGTCAATGTTTGAAGAGTAGGCAGGACATCCGCTTTAAGATGGGCGCTCTAGAGCTCCCACTAGTGGAGGCCCTTCCTCCAGCAGTCCTGTGAGTAAGACATTTCAGCGCCGCACTTTTGCCTTTACCTAACAGTGAGGCCGATTTATATTTGTCGATGAGTCGTGCAGTGGGCTGTGTGTGTGTCTCTCGTTGCCTGCAAATCATGCCTTCAGAGCTGGTGTAATTCCAAAATAAATAACGGATTTTTGCCATCAAATTCGTACAAAGGAAAATAAATGGTGTTCTCTGCATCTCCCTGTAATCAACAAAGCCTCGTAAAAAATTTGAGGAATGACTCTGGAAGGCAAATAATCCACCTGCTTTGTGTGTCTTCCAAATACAGGTCATACTGCTAGCCACAGAAAACACTCATTTATTATCAGCCGTGATCAATCCACTGCTGGATGAAGGCCTTTCTCATGGTTCTGCGATGAAAAATGTATCTGTTGCAGCTGCACATCAGCTGATTTCATCAGTTCGTGCTGTGTGCATGCTGTGTGCAGTCAGCTAGTGCTGTGCAAAGAACCAATCTTGAAATTGGAAGGTTAAAATAAAATTTCCCGTTCAGGAGTCAATGCAGCCTATCACATATTTGGGGTAGATAAAGTGTTTACCGCTTAGTGGGAAGCCTATAGCAGGATTAATTTTTTCATTAGATAACTATTTATAAATATATAAAATAACTCCTGCTATAGGAATGTGAAATAGTCATATTTGGCGCAGTTAAAAGCAGAGAAGAGCAGTGAATAATGCTAAAGGCCAGTTGACTTTCTCTACCCATCTTAAGCAATTATTGTCATCTCTTTCGCCTAGTACGAAGGAAGCTCGTGGATTCGATCCCGACCATGACAATGCCTGCTGTTTATTTGGCGTTCACAAGGTCTCTCTCTCCGTGGACACCTGGATTTTTTCTCTGGGTCCTCCGGTTTTTCCCTCCACGTTATAGACTATTTGGCTGCCACTGCGATGAGCTAATAGCTCAGTGGGCTTTACCTGGTGAAATAAAATTGTTTCGTTTATCAAACTAACTAAACATGAAAAACCTAAATTTGTATTTAAAGCTTTCGTGACTGCAGGGATTCATATTCTTGGTTCTTTCGGTAAAGTCACGTAGAAGGGAAATGATAAAATAATAAAAATATCAAACAATGCAATTCTCACGACGTTTTAACTGCAACACAAGCAATCATCATCAGGTGTGAAATCCAAATTTCCTTGCTGTGGATTTCACACCTGATGATGATTGCTTGTGTTGCAGGCGAAACGTCGTGAGAATTTTATATTTTATTATTTTATTATTTCCCTTCTATGTGCCTTTACCGAAAGAACCAAGAATATGAAAAACCTAGTTTTTATGAGCCTGAGATTCCAATTCAGTCTCTCAGTGGGGCTGGCTTTGCACTATCAGAGGTAATGTATTCGTCCCACTTAGTCCGAGCCATATTTAAAGACTTTGTATTTAGCACAACGAATGGCTCTTGAACAAGTCAGTCTTACTTGCCTTGAATTGGAAGTCTGGCAAGGGTTTGGAATGTATTTGTTCTACTCCGCTCTCAAATTTGTTTCAGGAAAGAGAAAAATTAATGCGCATTGTGAAACCAGTCCGGAAAGACCTCAAGCCCGTCAAGGTGAGTGACAGTACTTCTGCAGAGAATATCCTTGACAGAGACCTGACCCAGTCAGCAACACAAAGGTTCCAAGTCTGACACCCGTGTCATGTATCGCACACTGGCATGTTAATTGTGCAATGATGTCACTCATTGTTAATCTCGTCTGCAGGGAGATATTACTGCGGATGATTGCAACTAATGTTTAGCTGTGCCTGCAATGAAATATAATCGCTGGCATTGATATGCTTAACGAATGATCCATTTTCGGTGTTGTAGATAGTAGAACTCCTGTTATGGATAACTCATCATTACCCACGACTCTCATTATCCACGAAAACTGCAGGGTCTCAAAAAGCTTGCGTTATCTACAGCCCTATTCCTGTTATCCGCGATTATCCACGGATTTTCCCGTCCTAATTTACGGAATGGTTATCCTGTGGCCGACACATCTATGTAATTATTGATGAAGCTAGTTGTAAATACTGGCGAAACGTCGTACTCAGTTTGTAAATGTTGTGGCTTGGCTCTCCAACACACCGGTGTGCTGTACTAGTGACCAATTGGCCACGTTCTGTTTACGTGACAACCCCTTACTAGTCGGCTGTGTCAGGTGGTGGCGAGTTTTAACGACACATTTATATATTTACGCGATCTAACCCAACAAACCTCTTATGGATGATATTGGTCACGAAAGCTTCTGTGTCAAAAGTTTCATGCTCGCAAAATTATTATTTTACCGTACAGTACTACACACTGTCACAGTAACATTGTACGCAATGCAAATGCGGCAACTCCCCGCTAGACAAAACAAATGAAGGTGATTTCTGAATGTAAACTGGTTGATTACAGTTAATTCTAAATAATCCACCTCCGACTAGAGGTCATTATGCGTTTTATGAATATATGTGAAAAAAACACATGTGCCTGTTTCCAATTCAGCTGTTGATGTATGGCACTGCAGGGAGTTTGTTCCCTTCCTCCACTCTGCAATTGCTGAACACAAATGGAAATCAACATTCATCTGGCTCTTTTATCCCCGTTTCAAGTCAAAGTTCAGGGAGGAGATTAATGCTGGGTGTTATGTAAGGGGAGGTCATGTTTAAACAACAAGATGACAGGTATAGTAATAGGTTTTTACCCTTTCAACTGGTACAAAAACTGACACCTTTATGCAAGGCATCATGTTTGCAATAACCACAACACAAGCAGTCAAAATGCAAACAAAAAGGAACAACTCTGATGATGATAATGATATGCACTGTCCTTGAATTTGATTGGTCCACACCCGAGACAGCTTTTCTTAGAGCCTAGTCTCCATTGGTGTTGGACCAGATGACGCCAAAAGGCGTACAACTCAAAAACAGCGCACTATCAGAGTATTGAGAGTTCGGGGTTAAGCATTTACACTATGAGACCTCCTTTAGCAAGGCATCTAGTATTTTTCAAAGATTCTGTACAGCCTAAATACATTTCATAGGAGTGTCCATTACACGATGGATTGAATATTTAACTTTGCGAAAGACAGTGGAGATGTATAAATACTGACATTCTCAACTAAATGGGGTCATTAACCTGGAACATTGGTTTTTTAATAAGATTTGGGTTGTGCAGAGATGTATTTTCCTAGCTGGTTAAGGTTTTATTCGGCATGTGATGTCAAATTCAGGTCTGACTGGTAAATCTGATTACTTAACATTCACTGCATTATTAGCTTAACACATTTTCTTCTGCGATTGTTTCTTCATAACATTGCATTGGCTTTAGTTCCTTTACCAGTGCTATGGTGATGACAATCTGCACTATTCACTAGTTTTGTGCTCTCATTTTACATCTGGCGACTTTCACATATTGCAACGGGGTTATATGGTTCAAAGGGCTAACGACTATGCCAGTGCAATGAGCCATCTTTGCTCAGATCGTCAAATATATTTTCAGGAAACTCTAATTACTGTGTGTGTGTGTAGGTATGATTGCCTTATCTCCTGCCACAATTGACTGCACAAATAATTGTCATTTAAATGTGATGTTTCACTTGATTAGGATTGTGGTCAGCTACGAGAGCTCTATTTGTAACATTTAATCAATGATCAATGCACGCTGAACTTTTTTACACTCAGGGTTAGTGCAGGGGCCGGCAACCTGACGTCGTTGACGCTGCATTGCGGCTCTTGAAATGTTGAGTTGTTCTGCGCCGAGTTCGGAATGAATGGCCCTTCTCGTTATTTTGGTTTCTGACCCCCTGGCATAGAGCAATTGGGCTTGGTAAGACCCCAGGAGATTTTATTTGCTGCCATTATCCTCTCAAGATAATTTATTGGCATACATGATGTTCTGCTTTTTTTCGGGGAGTAGCCAAAACAGGCCATCTTTCGTGATGTGACTTGACCGACAGCAAAGTTTTGATATAAATGGATACCAGAATACGATTCTACATTAATACACATTTATAATGTCTGATTAGTTTCCCCATTTTTTTTAATCCTACCCGACCATCGCATTGAAGCTCTCATTCCACACGGGTCCTCTTGCCTTGCCCGTCAAACACCACCCTCGCCAACCCTCCGTCTGGGGCCTCCTGATCCATGCATGGATGGAAACCATTATTTCACAAATAACCCAGCTCAACTGTGAGCACTGCACGTAGACGTAAACACGGTGGGTTATGATTTGTGGCAAATCACTCTGCACGGAGCATGATGGAACTGTTTTGTGTTGGTTCAGAGTAGCCCAGCAAAATGGACTTGAAAGTAGTTACGTGGCGTGATCATGTGTTGCTATTTGCCGACGCAATGTGTGATGTTGTGCATACTGCAGGATTTTCATGAGGATATCTTTTTTCTTTCACTTCATGATGTCCCACCCAACAACACAGCACATTTGTGCTATAATAAATATGAATACAAAAAATCTAACAACAAAAAAAACCAGAAAAGCCTTTTTATTCCCCCCACCGAGGTGTACAGAATTGCACAAAATGGAAAGTGCTTTTGCCGCGAGACTGTGCTTGCATTTTGGACCAAGGACGAACGGGGAGTGAGAGGAGAGAGACAGGCGAGGCTTTGTGGAAGGTAGAGCATGGCGAGAAGGTGATATGTTTGACATTTAAATACCGTGATATGCACAGGCGATGGGCCTCAGCGTAATGTTTTAAAACTGTATGCAATGAACATATCGGCCGTGGGTTCGTGAGAGCTTGAATGATTGCATCAATTTCCCTTTCGTAGTCGTACGATGGAAAGAACATCCTCCGTCGAGACGGGGCGATGAAATCATCTTCCATCGGGCGTCAAGTGGATTGTCAGATCTCGCAGGGGGCCTTGGGAGATGGCAACGGCTTTGGGGGAGGCCTTCATCCAGCAGCCGATTGATCATGGCTGATGATGGAGATGATACAAATTTTGCTTTACTTTTTTCAGTTGTCGAGCCGCTCTTCCCTCCGTTCCAAATTTCAATGTCAGTGCCAGCTCGGACTTTATTTAATGTGCAGCTCAAAGTCCACCAGGGGTGTTTCTTTTGCAGGATGAGAGATTGAGCACATTTAGCCCGTCCCGAGCCACCCGGAAACCTCTTTGATTTGTCGGCATTACAGCTCGGCCTACCGGCACAGAGTCTCGCTCACCATGTAATTGAAGTGAGTCCAGCGGCTGGCTGCACCGAATTAATTGCGCACAGACTCTTGCGGAGTTTTGCATAATTCATCAGTGTGCTTCATGGTCTGCTGAGGCTCATTGCTATGTAGGATTGCAATGCCATCATTAACGAAAGCACGCAAAGCCTTTTGAGGTTACACTAAGGTTGTCTGCACAGGTGTCTGCGTTTCTGTGCGGCATACTAAATGGTCGTTTTATAGCGGGTTATCGTTCTCTGATAATTGTATTTCCTTTTGTATCATGCTCTGTGGTGAATTAGCTTCATTATACAGTAATCATTTTTTTTTCAATTCAGTTGTGCTTATATTCTTGGTTCTTTCGGTAAAGTCAAGTAGAAGGGAAATAATAAAAGAATAAAAATATAAAACAATACAAATTCTCACGACGTTTCGACTGCAACACAAGCAATCATCATCAGGTGTGAAATCCACAGCAAGAAAATTGGAAAAAAGTGGCGGTTTTTTCTTAACGTCAGCACCACGGACAGCGATTTTGCAGTTGGCCAGATGGACGAGTCCATCTATGTTCGGAAAAGAGGAGGGGGGAGAAGAAAATGGAATGTGCTCTGAAAGTCACCGTGACTTTACCGAAAGAACCAAAATATGAATCCCTGCAGTCACTAAAGCTTTAAATCAGTTGTGCTTGTTTGAAATAATTTCTCCCGTTGAAAGCAAGTAGCATTTCTTATGGCGGTGATGGACAATTTAATTTGGAGACTCGTGAGGTCGGGTGGGTGGATCACACGAGGATGGATGAGGGTCCACAGTTGCCTGCTTTAGCAAGTTGCCGTGCTATGTTCGACCTCCCGGCGTGGCAGTTGCAACAATGAGCACCCCCCCACCCCCCACCAGCTCGCCTTCTGTCCACCCAGCAGCATAAATGGACACAGCACAGTTGCTCGATCGGCAGGTGGGGTAAAGTGTGGGTAGCAGTCCCACCTCTTCCGAGACGTCTGGCCAGTGTGGAAGAGTAGTCCAAATACCTTCTGGAGGGGCTATCCAGAGCTCCGTACGATACGAAAGAAACCCAATACACGCTTACATACCAAGCAAATGAAAACCCTACAACCAAGCAAAGTCAGCGAATAAAATAAACAAAGAAATGGGACCAAAACAAAAAGCACAAAAAGCAAAGTGATCACAACAAAGAAAAATATGTGGTGTTTATTTGCATCGTAAGGCCACCAGAGCTGGGAACAAGCTACTGAATATTGCACGTCATGTAAGAAAGGTTCCGTAAACGAATGGACAATTCCCGTAGGTGATGGCGATGATGACTACGACGATGATGATGGTGATGCCGCAATACTTGTAAAAATGTTCTTGACAGCATACTTACCTTCGACCATGAGTTGAGTTGTAGTTTCAA